CCTCTACTTTGTTAATACAAGTTAATATGCACTATACTCGATTTTTGTAACTTTACCATACTATACCATATAAACACTCAATACACGTTCATGAGCTCATTTAATTTGCACCACTGTTTATATTTACAGTACTGTTCATATTACTATACTGCATATGTCACTTTACGTTTTTATCCATATCAAGGACTTCATACATGTACAATGTACATTCATTTCATCTGTTGCATTCATCATTTTTACTTCAAATGTCAAAGTCAAGACCTTCAGACTTATAGATATACTTTTTATATTGCTATACTTATAATTTAGGATAGTATCATACTTTTATTTCTTATTTTATGCTAATGTTTATTAAATATTTAATGGTTATTGTTGCACCATGGGTCTGAGAGTAATGAAATTTCAATCTTGTGTATGTCCTGTACGCATTGCAGTTTTGACAATAAAGTTGACTTTGATTTTTGGCTTTAATATCATTATCATATCATATCATATCATATCATATCATATGCCAGTTTATTTATAAAGCACTTAAAACAGCAACAAGTCCAACCTCAGTGCTGACAATGTGTTGCATTAAACCCAAAGGTGCCGAGACTGCTGGGAGACCAGTTGGTGGAAAAAAAAAACTATCCCTCAAAATTGCAGGAAAACGTTTGAATTCCCAGTTTGAGTCTCACTGAACTCTGTTTGCAAGCAAATGACCAGTGAGCCACGCGGCCACAATTTGACCGAACAGTTTTTGAAAATCATTCTGATTTTTGTGTGCTTGTAAAACTGCACTCTTGGCTGCGCACATTATTTAATGTCAGTCATACTATGGTATAGTACGTACGAACATATGGAAGGTCTTTGCATGTCTGGGCCATTGTTATAGATTGTTGTATAATTAATAGTTCGTCGATCGGCGTATAATGTTCCGTATTGACTTGTTGGCCACCTCCACTCAGATCGAACCCATTTTGACAACTACCCTCCCATTTATGATTTAACCTGCTAAAGTACATGTAAATAAAGATGCATGCCTTTGTACCAGGGTTTTTAATAGTTCTTTTTAAATCATCAGTGTGGTTTTTAGACCTGGACATGAGTCTCAGACGTTTGAAGAGCTCCCACGCAGGTGTCAAAGTATATTTCTAGTGCTCAGAGACAGAATGGAGACGCCTGCGGCAAAATTCAGAGACGGGTGGAGAATGGGATGGTGCAGAATGTATCAGTCTAGTCAGTCTCCTACTGGTGAACTGAACCTTTCAGCAGCTTCGACACCATCAGCAGATAGATACGTGGAGTATTACACTTCACACAAATGCTTTCTGATAGTGACAGGATGTTGTGCAGTTGAGAAAAAAACTCCATTTGAAGCTGCAAAATCGTATCTCATTGACATAGTGGTGTGATAAAAACTGTCATTTTGTTCTCAGAGGAGCTTCCCTTCTCGACACAAGGCCCAGGTGAACTTTTGTTCTCACGAGAGGATGTGCCAAGTATTCTGCGATTGGTCAGAAGTTTGTGGGCATGCTATTTAATGCGGAAAAAAGCTTGGACAGTCATCTGTACGACTCTTCAACTCACACTAAGATCGACGGTGGCACCAGGGGGGCGCTAGGGGGTCTTATAGCTCCCTATGGAAACATTATAGCACCCTCGTAGCACCCCCAAGAAAATATCAGATTTTCTTTTTCATCTAAGTTTATATTCTTTAGTATGTGGTTGTTGTGATATTTTTCCTCGCAAAACACAACTAATTAAAAAAAAAAAAAACCCAATCAATGATTATACTGAGTTTGAAAAAATCCGATCTCACAACAGGAAGTGAACTTGAATTTGCACTTCCGGACCAGAAGTTTCGGTAAACGTTTAAAAAGAGCACGAAATGCAAAAATGGACCGTTTTCTGTTACCCAAATTTCCTAGGATGGAATCGGAGAAGGAGGATGTTTTGGAAGCAGACTGCGACCAGCAAAGAAGCAATAATTTGGAAGAAGGGGATCAAGCGTACTGTCGTCCTTCCACATCTGCGGAGAATGCTAACACTGCTAGCGCTGGACAGCTGGAGGATCTAAACTAGCCCTCAAGATGGACCAAGACGACCACACCTATTTGGAGTGCAACAGAGACGTTTTAACAAAGGTGGCTGGTTGGAATACAGCGTGGGTGGAGATGTCGTGTTTTGCTTTGCTTGTTGGCATTTTCTAAAAGGAAGACACGGATTTCCCAATAACAGGCGGGACCTGTTCTGAAGACTTCTGATGGCCAGTGAATGATTTCAACCTTGTGACTTTGTAATGCGTTCAGCGTCGTGCACTGAAATCGTCCACTTATACACAGATACATCTGGGGGAACAATACAGTGGATTGAATGTAACAGTTTACATTCTACACTATGTATGTCATGTTTGTACATGCTTTAATTAAATTGCAGAATACCACATATTCACTATCCACTTTATTGGTGACTACACTTGTCTGAGTCCTGAGTGCACCTCTGTGCTTGTGTCTGTGGGTGTTGAGAACTGAAAGAACAAATGATCCTTCAGAGCACCCTCAGTAAAATGCTTAGCCCTCCCCCCCAGCACCTGCAGAAAAATATCTGGAGCCGCCACTGACTTAGATAGTCACACTGTCAAAAACTCCTAGATGGAGATTATGGAGACGTTGTGTGCGGAGGAGTCTGTCTTCTGAAAAGTGTGCTGCTTTCTTTTTGATAGATCTGTGACCAAACGGCGGATGCTCGTATAGAGTGGAGAACCTGGCAGGAGGAAACCTGTACGGTGACATATACTGCAATGGGAGGGGTTTCCCAGGAGCTCAGTGCACTGGGACTTGAGGACTTTGAAAGGTGCGTGTGAAAACCAACATCCCGTAACCACATGACCGCGAGTCGACTGTCCAGCTTCAAATGGAGTACGCCGGGCCCTTAAATCCCTCAGTGTCAGTTTACAAGTCAGTGGAGAATTAAGTATTTCCTATGCCGTCCTGATCTTCCTCGTGCCTCCTCGTGGTTCTGTTGTTGAGTTATCCTTCTGTAATTACAGTTTGGCTGCCGCAACAATATTTCTGTTTTATAATAAATGGGTGTAGCTCATTCTTCGGGTTACCTGAGTCGAGTCTGCTGTCCTGGTTTCAATTCCTCCACCAACTGTGACTCTTTTATTCAAAACTTCACCTTTGACACGATTGGACTATCCCCGTAACAACCGTTCATTCAACCTTTATTTATACAGGTTAGTCTCACTGAGCCTCGGGACTCATTTACAAGAAAGACCTGTTTTTAACAAATAATGATGACAACAGTAGACAATCATAAAAGAAAGCATAAGAATTTAAAAAAATAAATGGAAGAAAATTGTATATTTAAAAAACCGAAACAAAAACAGCGACATTATAAGGCGATGTTGAAAACTAAAAAGAGGAACATGTCTGCATTGGTTTGTGCCATGAACTTAGAAGATGTTTGAATATCGAGATACATATCGTATATCGCGATTTATCTTTAAAAATATGGAGATATCAATTTTGGTTCATATCGTGCAGCCGTAGTCAATAATTTAATAACAACTGTCTTAACTAAAATAAATGAACTAATATGAAATTAAATATAACTTAGTCTAAATGACAGCAACAAACTGTTTTACAAGATAATATGTGGCTTAAGAAGAGACAAAGACAAACAATAACAAAAATCCTAAATTTGCCACAGTCCGTTCTGTTATCATCTGCTAAGAATGGCAGTTATCGTGCAACGCTTCTGGACATGAGATACCTATTAAAGCTGATGTGATTCTTCCTTCACTGGCAGACCACCTATAGGTTGAGAGAGCTACTTCGTGCTGCATTCCTCACCTGCATGCTGGGTTGTTGTGCCAACGCCTGGTGGCTGAGCCTTAATAAAGCCTAAACCCTGCCGTGCATCCTCTCTCTGTTCCCCAACTCCTGCTGCTCGTCTGTCTCAAGTGTATCGTAATTTACTGTCACAGAACTCCTCAAACCGGCCACCACACAGAGCGCAGAGGGGGAACAGAGACTAGGATCGCAGATCACCGTCAAAAAGAAAAGAAACTAAACCAACTTCCCTTCCTGGGGAAAAAATAGAATAAATTTCTGAAAAAATGGAAGGGAGAAACTGTTTTTCAGAGACTCAAACTCACAGCGGTTCACCCAGCTTTGTTTGGGTTTTTTCAGAGCAGGAGAAAAGGAACAGGGAAAAATTGCTAGGTGGTTGTCAACAGCTGAAGCTACAGCCGCACCTGGCATCGTGCTACTGGGCTTTGATCACTTGTCGAGTGAAATTCCACCACTGGATTAAAGTGAAGGAGGGGGCAAACCAAGGGTGGGAGGATGAAAAAAAAAACAAAAACAAAAAAACAGAGGACGACTTGCATGAAACCTAGCCCCTGTAATGTTGCATGTTACAGCCCTGTTGGCTGTAATTAAAATCAGCATGAATTGTTGAATTTATCTCCAGCTGATCATCTGTAATCCTAACCCCCCCACAATGCAAACACACACACCCCACACACACGCATATACTGCAGAACCTTCCTGTGTGGATTTGAACCAAACCCAATCAAAGATCTATCCATGGTTAAAGTTCAGCCAGGTCCAAGGATAAGTCATAAAATAATTATTGCACTTGCATAGATGATTAGTAGGTGATTAGTTTTTTTAGTATCAATACATGATAATAGCTCAGTACGCATCTGGTTCATACTGGTTATATACGTGGTATTTACCTGGTATGTATCAGGTACATACATAGAACCCTACCTGAAACAATCTGGTTATATACCTTGTTTATAACTGATAATTACCTGGTACATAATGGGTACATACCTTGTACTTACAGGGTCTGTATCAGATTTTTGGGACATACCAGGCATGGAGCTGCTACTTACCTGGTACTTACTGGTTACATACCTTTTTTTTTTTTTTCATTTAGCCTTTATTTATCCAGGTTGTCTCATTGAGCCATGAGAACTCATTTTCAAGAGAGACCTGTTTAGGGAGCAGATGGTGGGGGTTAAGGGCCTTGCTCATGGGCCCAGAGTGGGGCGAATGAGGGTGGGGGCAGGTGTGGGTGCTTCACCTACCCCACCCACATTTTTGATGTTGTCTGTACCGGGGCTTGAACCGGCGATCTTCCGATCACAGGCCCACCTTCTCTAACCTCTGCGCCACCACTCCCCCTGTATACCTTATATTTACCTTGTACATATCTGATACGGGGCAGCACGGTGGCACAGTTGGTACAGCTGCCGCCTCTTAGTGAGAGCCACTGGATCGAATTCCGGCCGGGGGGCCTTTCTGGGTGGAGTTTGCATGTTCTCTCCATGCATGCGTGGGTTTTCTCTGGGTACTCCGGTTTCCTCCCACAGACCAAAAACATGCATGTTGGGCTGATTGGTAACTCTAAATTGCCCCTAGGTGAGAGAGAGAATGAATGGTTATTTGTCTCGTTTGTCTCTATGTGTCCCTGTGATGGACCTGTCCAGGGTGTCCCCTGCCTCTTGCACAGTGATGGTTGGACATATGCATTTCATAAAATATGAATGGATGGATGGATATCTGATTTGTTTTGGTACTTCTCCATTAAGTACCTAGCAAATGCCAGATATGTACATGCTACTTATTTTTCTACTTACCATGCATTACTAACAGAGTATGTACGCTGTCTGGACACCAGAGTGAGACATCCAGGTGGCGTCATGATCAGAAGCCTGAAGTCCTTTCAATAAGGAGGAGCAGTGGTTTTACTCTAAACCTTCTCAGAATGTTTTTGCTGCTCACTGTCTCTAAGGCTGAGCCCGGTCGGTCAGCCTGTAGAAGAAACCCATTTCTCCAGGATCTCATTCTTTCAGTCAAACATTATGACCAGAGGTGAGGATTGGACATAAGATGGACCAATAAAAGAGAGCTTTGCCCTTCAGCTCAGTTCCTTCTTCATCACAACAGGCCAGAGCAACGTCTCCATTACTGCAGATGAGGCTCTTATCTCAATAAATGCAATCTGTGATGTGTGACAAAGTGCTTTACCTCTTTTTGCTTCAGTTTTGAACACAAAAAAATATTTGACCAATAACGTGTGCGTAGAATCTGAGCCTTTGTGAGCAGCACTTTTCTTTTTTGATCAATAACTAAATGTTTTCTTTTGTAGCAGGTGTACCACAATCACTGCTGTCATTTGTGTCCAACACTTTCTCACCTGTTTGTCGGACCCCATCATGGAACGAAGACGGTTACTGGAAATACTCTCCATCTGTACATCTATATTTTGGGCTTGATTGAAAAATAAGTGAGGTCCCAATTTCCATTTTAGTGTGTGACTGTAACTAAGTGTAAGAAAGTTCTTTATAGAAAATTAGGTTTCCATGTCAAGATCCAAGATAGTGCCATCATATACGAAAGCAGACATCCCCTGATCATTTGAGGCAACTATGCTTTCTCGTTTTATCATTGTTAAAAAGTATAGTTTCCTCAAATGATTGAGGTGGCCAGTGGGGTGGCCAAAAATTAATCTATGGTGGTCAAGGCCACCATTGGCCATCCCCTGGTTCCACCACTACACCTAGTGGTGGATAAAATGATGCTCTCCACTCACCAGGATCCATCGCTCTGCTCCCTCTCAGCCTAGCAAAATAAATAAATCACTTCTGTTCTTCTCCACAGTAACTCCTTCTATCTTCAATATCTTGCACCAAAAACATTAAGGTTTAGTTGCATTCCTTGTTCAAGTCCAGAAAAACACTCATGCCAAAAACTAAAACACGCACTTTTCAAACCCCTCAGCGACGGGGGACGTCGGCGTACCACTTGTTTGTCTCTGTTCTTACACTGACTTCACCCTAAAGCCTTGTTGTGGACCCTTAGAGCTGCAGTAAACTCTCCAAGCATGCCAGGATATCCCATCTAAACTGTTAGCGCTTCAGAGTTAACACCTACCGTGGGAGCCACCACAGAGCACCATTGCTCTGAACGGTGGGAGCGACCTTGATTGCGACACCAGGAATTCGCTCTACTTGACAGCTGGCTCTTCCGCATGCCCTTGACTTAGCATGTGGTAATGCTGTCAGAGATTTTAGGGGAAGAGAACTGCTGGCATGCTAATCTCTGCTATGCTTGCCACAAGAGGAGCTGTCCGAGGCATTCAGAGGGAGGTGCTGACAGTCCTGCCACCAGTTGTTCAGGCAGGCACAGTGGAGCAGTACTGGGGGATGAAAAGGTGCAGATTTTCCAGGTTGCTGTGGACAACTACCGCAAATGCTTCTTTAGATCAGGAGTGGTATTCACGACAGCTGTTGTTTCATCAAAGGGGTTCCCCAGTGTGGGACATGTAAACCATAATAATCTATTTTCTGCAGAGATGAACATGAGGGTGTGTGTGTGTAAATCAGGTCACACTCTTGTCTTGAAAATACTTTAATAAAGTTATTTTGCTGTTGTAATGAGAGACACCGAGAGATGGATTTAGCTCAGGGGTGCTCTCTTACATTTTATAATATCTGGACTAATTCAAGTGCATAATATTATACTTAATTTAAACGGATTCTTTCATTTTTCTGGACTAAGTAATATCGTGCCTTGAAGATTAAATGTGGACAAAGACGTGTTTAAATTTCTGACCCACCAACAACAGTGCGGTCTTTTATTTATCAAAACGATTTAAACACATCACACATTTTACACATTGATTGGCATAATTGATTACAATAACACAGCTTAATTAATGAGCTTTACAATGAGAAATCATACGGCCATGATTCCTCACTTGCAGCTTGAAACAACAGACATATCCTTAGATCTTAAATTAATGTCTGCAGGCTTTTAGCTTATCTTTACTGGCAGGGAAATATAGAGATGGAGTAAACTTTAAGAAGGAAAAGTGGAAACTTAGGGTTAACTAAGATAATAAAGAAAAGATGGGGAGTTATCTTGTTTGAAACCAGATAGCACGTTTCCCGGTGATTTCAGCTAGATGGTACCCGAGCGTCGACTCTTTACCTTGGTGGGGTTTCAGAGAGGCCTTCTCCTGGCGTCCAGCAAGGCTGAGTCTTTTTATCTCCAGGGATTTATATCCGCTTCTCATCAACTTGGGACCACGAGGCTGCCTGACCCAGCTTCCAAAATAAACTCCCCGAAAGATAGGATTAAGTTAAGTGGAATTTCAGCAAACGTGCTGAACTCCTGAGATGTTGAATAGGTCTTTGGCGTGATGACCTGAACCAACACTCCAGACAGGTGTCATCTTTCAGAAAAATGACCACCGTGGACTTCACCCTTGCAAAGTCACACTCGTCTTCCTTCTCAGCAGAACTCCCTGTAACCTCTCAAAGCAAAGCGTTTTACACTCCTGCTCCAAGGTTGCTGAGAATTGTTTTGGGGTTAGTGAAAGAAAATAGCAGAGGATAGAC